CTCTTTCACGAAACTTAGGTCGAGAACAGAGCCTGCGTCATGAGTTGATTCCCCGTAATTTTTTAGTAGAAGGAGCCTTTTTTTTGGTTTCCCAAGTTAGTAGGGATTCACCGCATGTATTAGAATATGATTCTCTTAAACGAGTGATATAGAACTACTGGGAGTAGATTTGATAAAGTATTGGGTTAACAAATGCTGAGCGCGTATCGCGACTGCTTCTCAGCACTATCTCCTAATGCTGCGACCTCGCTCTCGCTACACGCTAGTATGGAACTACTAATACAGGATATATAAGGTCTCCAAACGCCTTACCCGTTATGCTCCTAAGCAAACAATAATCACAACCATAACTCCGTTATGTTCAGGTGCAAGAATAATTATGTTTGACCAACAGTTATTTGATTTAACAGCATGCATCGTCTCGTGCTACGGGGTCCCAAAGCTAATGACGGATGTTGAAGTCTCCTGCTGTCGCCGGATCAATTGATGTTGGTATACAGCAGAGCAAGTCCAGAATAAATCAGTTAATTAATGAAATCTAGAGAAAGAAGATTTCCTACTTCTCGCTGTATACATAGGGAATTGTAATTGTCAGCGCCGATCATAACAATCTATGTTGCCAAGTAACCAAATCCAGACCGCAACATTGGTAGCCCCCGTAGCTGGCTAGGCCCTATATTCCATCCCTACCGTACTGGCGCAGACAGTACAAACACAAGGGATTAATCCCGTAACACCTGCTAAGGTATCTGGGGACTGTGTAAGAGACAACAGACTGGCTAGTCCTGCTCCTGCGTCCACAGAACCAGTTGGGGCGTTTTATAGGTTGAAAATTTCTACTTGGCGTTTGCTCTTCCGTCTGATACAAACTTGGAGCAAATCTCGAGAATGTGTAGCTGGCTGGAAAGGATATAGACCAACACCTTTGCTGGTATAAATCATGACGCGTGGTCTGGAAGACCAGTCGAGAGTTGGGGTAAAAGTAGAAAAACTTGGATGTGTTTTAGTAGTTTTGCGTGAATAGTCGGAAAAGATCTATGGTTCCTGGATTAGCACGATATCTGCACCTGCTTGATAGGCAAGTTCATGAGCCGTGTCATGAGCTGGCCCACGTTTTCCAACATTCACCTGGAGTACACAGAGACCAGCAGATTTCTGCTCTCTGCGTCGACAACCTCAGGTCATCATATTTGTTCTTCCATGGTGATCATGGGGGCGAATCTAGATCCAGATTCAACTATCGCCGCTGAAGCAACCGAGATCGCTTCGGGCACAGCTTTTGTTTGTAGAGTTTCCATTGTCCCTGTTTCTGGGAGTGGGGGTGAAGGTGAGTTTATCGCGGCCAAGGCCCTGTGACCTTCTTGCCGCATATTCCGTAGTCTATTTTTGTCCGGTCGTACAAATACCCCGTTGACAAGTAGTGGGCGATCTGGGAATCCTAGAGATGATGCTGGGTGAGGTCCGGCGCAATTTAGGCACTTAATAGGAGTACTACAAGGACCATTGTGGGAGTCTGCGGCGCAGATGCCGCAGCGAGCGTGACGGTTACATGCATTTATATTGTGATAGTCATGGCACCTGGGGCATACCTGCAGCTGGGGTCTATTATCGAGAGCCTTCAGTCTTGTGGCTCTAGCAAATAGACGGAGATGTGTTGGGAGCTTTGTAGTGGCGGAGGCTGAGACTACAAGACGAAGAGTCCCATCTCCCTCAGGAGAGGCTAAGGATCGCCGAGTCCAGTTCATTGAATAGACTTTGGAGGTGTCAACATTTGCAGACGCGAGTTCTTGTCTTATATCTTCGTTTGTGAGCGGCTCACTAACTCCGGATGCATTGTATCTATATTTTGGAACCGGTCCTTGTAGAAAGTTTAGCCTTTTCTCTTGCCGTTCTACCTGTACATTTCCGGTAATCGGTTAAAGGGCTTGAGCAGCCTGTAGTAACTCTGGGGTTTGGCTAGCTGAGGGGGCCACTAGGGCAATACCAGATGGGACGTTTCAAATATCTTTAATAAGTTCTGGCCGTTGTAGTAACCCTCGGAGCCTTGAGCGGACAAGAAGTGCGTCCTGAGATCGAGGAGGATGGTCAGTAGGGAGGCGAATAATCACCCTGTAGTCAGTCTTCGGAAATTTTGCTCGATTTCTGGCCTTTTTAGGTAGAGTTTTCGCTGACGGTCCAGAAATTAGGGCTGGCCCTGGTGCGCTAGATTTTGCTATATTGGCGTATGTAAACTTCGTGGCTTTTGAGGTGGGTGGTTCTCGGGTTATCACTGCCTTGAATTGTGACTGAATTGTTGGTTATAGGCTCGTAGGCACGTTTTCAAAAACAGGGAGTCCTGCTATGACTCGAGCAGCGCTACGCGTGACGACCGCTCTTATGTCTGCTGCGATAGCAGGGGGTAGGAAGCGAAGATGCTCGAGCCCCGCATTCTGACTGGCAAGAAGTGCGGTTGCAACTTCATTAGTTTCTGCCGTTGATGGGGAGTGGATCACTCTTAAAGGCTGAATTATTGTCTTCGCTATATTTTAGTATTACAGGCCTCAAGAGAAGGAAAGGCGTGTATTGAATGCGCAAGCCCTTGTCTTGCTTGGGGTGGCTTAGGGGCCTATCAGAAGGCGCCGCTGTTAGCTTTCAAAGCCTGGGTTTGGGGAGCGAGGGCATAGTCTAAGTAAGAGTGTGAGTTTTTTTCGTTAGAGTACTCTAGCATGAGCTCATCTGCGGAATCCATGCCCATATTTTCTTCTTGTGTGTGAGGTGGTTTTTCCTGGAGAGCCGCTATCAATGCTTCTTCACAGCCGGTTGAGAGTGAGAAGCTTTTGTTTACACGTTTAGACGCCTGGCTGGGGCTGCAAACTTTCTGTCTTATTTTTTTTATTTTTTAGGGGAATGGGGAGCAGAAAGTTCGATGGAAGTCGTTGCTGAATTCTACAGATTTTTGTCACGGAGGAAGAAGTGGAGACAACCGAGGTATGACCTTGTGAATTGGATGGTTTACAAGGTGGGATCTTGATATGGGCTATTTACCAAGCTGCCATACATCCGCAAATGACAATCGTTCTGTTGGCTGGAGAGGAGTTAAAATGAAGGGGGAAGGGCTCCTCTGAATGTAAATTTGAATGTATATATATATATACAGTTCATTTTCCTGATTTGACGCCTTGAGGCCCATGCAGGTTTTATCGGAAGATATGTACTTTAATTAGGATGACTCAATTTGACGATTAGAACACTCACACTCAGATTTCATTTGCAGATACCACTCGAGGTTAACCCTTACGGCGTATAATCTCTTCCGTGCATACCCACCACAGGTAAAAGCGTGAAAAACCTGTGGCTACCCAAGTGTGCTTTCATCAACCCACAAGTACATTATCACCGCGAGAGAGTGTGGTGTGTGGGTCTGACTGGATTCGAACTAGCTTTCTCCTGTCTCGGATGGAGTAGGTGTTCAAGCTACCCAGTATCTACTTGGGAGAACTGCCCGGATGGTGTACCACTACACTATTCAACCCAATTTGAATGTATACCTGTAAGGGGTGGTACTGTTTGAGGGGAGCTGTATGGCAGGTAGAGGAGGGGATATATTACTGCAGTGGCTATCCATAGCCCGAGTGTCGAGGACCCATATGTCTCGCATGTCCTTGTATCACGAATCGACAATAATATTAAAATGTGATTCCTCTGGACGGTATTACAGTAGTACTGTCACAGGAATACCTGGAAGTAGGTTTGATAAAGTATAGGGTTAAATCGTTGCGTGTGTCTTCGTCTCTACGTCTACGCGCTTAATAGAAGTATCGCGACCTCGCACCCACTAATGTAGGCTCCTAGTCTCATCCACACGCTAATATGAAACTACTAATACACGGTATATAAAATCACCAGACGCCTTACCCTTTTAACTCCTAGGCAACCAATAACCACGACCTTAAGTCCATTATGTCAGATTGTAGGGATGATTATGTTTGAACAACCCTTCTTATAATTAAACAAATAATCTGATAAGACAATCATTCAACGAGATTACGAGAATGTTTTAAACTAGACGATTTGGACAAAATAAGCTTTAGATTGTTTGGTTTGCATCATATTATCAAACAAAGCTTATATGTCGGGCCAGTAAATCACCTTATATTCCCGATGTTATCATGAGAGATTTCAAAAAGAATATCAACGTCCAATGGGCAGCTTGATCAGGAATTATTGCCATACTGAGTGAACTTGTTACCGAATGTATAATCTCACGAATGACGGTATCTAGAATATGAATGAATTTCTTGCATAAGAATTAATAATTTTATTGAAGCCTTTAATTGAGATTAAGGGACAGATAAACTGTTCGCCGATGGGCATCGATTGTTTCTTCACGGGCTGCTAACAAAAATTCCATTCAGACCGGTCGTGTTTTTTTGAAAATAATCAAGCTTTTGACGAGTTAGGATAAAGTTTTATAAAGCTCATTATCGGAGATATGAGAGAGCTTGTTCTTATCGTGTTAGTTGTTGATTATTTGTTAGTATCTTCCGTTTTGTAATTGGATTATGTGCCACTGCAATGTAATCACATCCTAAATTCTAGATTTTAGATTAGGTTGGTGTCCCAGGTTATCATGAGTAGTATGGTGTGCACTAGAGTCGTCGACATTGCTGTCGCGCCCCTGATCCCTAGGCATCGCGAGACATGAGAAGGTATGCTTTCCCGAAGCATGAAATAAGATTTTATTTGTATCATCGCCCACCGTTGTCCAGGTTCCTGCACGGAAAAAGTGTCTACAAAGATGACGATATTACGGTATAACTCATAACAGCAGATGTGCATTAAATCGTCATTATCATTTATAGTTGGGTGCTATCATATCTCATGATACGTGAAAATTTCACCTTTTTCTAAACAGATTGACATGTTTCTTGCTAAGCTTGTGACTTAGATCAGATTTTGGTGAACCACTAAGATTTCCGTAAACTCAAATTTTCTGCATGGCAGCCTGATGTCGTTAGGAGTTAGACCTGCTTGGTGTGGATAGAACTTACTATATCGGTAGATTGGACGTAGTCTTCAAATTCTTGTATTTCTTCTTGTAACTCTGTCAAGCCAATCTTTTCATCCTCGATCACCAAGGTTATTTGCAATTTCATAATTCCGAATCCGACAGGCACAAGTTTGGATGATCCCCAAAGTAAACCATCCTTTTCAATGGCTCTCACTGCTTCTTCGAGCTCTTTCATGTTGGTTTCGTCATCTAAATGAATTAGTGGCTTCTTGCAATTTCATTCAAAGGATAGTTACCCCAAGGCTTAACTTCTAGAGTAACGACCGACTTGGCTGCAGGTTTGGTCTTTCCTTCTTTCTTTTTTCTGTACTCCTCTAATCGTTGGTTACGAAGTTTTTCAGCTTCTTTATCCTCCTCTTCATCGTCACTTCCAAAGAGGTCTATGTCATCCTCTTCCTCCGTTACGGCCTTAGAGGGTTCTGCCTCTTCTGCTTCTTTTTCTGGTCCGTACTGTGTATGATCCTTTGAAGAATCGCCTGGTAGTGATGAGAATTTCTCTTTGTATGAGTTGATATGTTTGTACCATCGTGCAGCGTGAGGATAGACTGATGATTGAGGTGATAAGGAGAGCGATTTGAGGACTGCAACATCGGCCTGAGATGCGACGTAACTGTAAATTTTTAATTAGTCTGGTAAAATGAAGGGTCATCATTGCGTTGAGGTCCTAGATCAGAGATGCATTTCTGCATGGGTTTATCGTCACGTGACGGTTCTTGAGGCCGCTCAGTAACACGGACCAATTATCTCATCATGTTTCTTTGCAGATATAGTGTGTAGTTTGCGAAGTTATTCGCATGAAAAGGTAATTATTATAAATATGCTTACCCATCTATGTATGAACGAGTCTTGAGCCAGTCGTTTAGTACTGAATATTGTCAACTGATGTTTATGCTTTTGATTATGACAGAGATTATTTCTCGTGCCAAAAGAAATCTTACACTGGAGACCGTTTTCATTGTTAAGATCTTCGAATCCCATTTTAAAGTTATCGGTAGAACTGAAAGGAGTGAGAATGTTAATTGGAGAAAAGTGCTGTGCCGAATGGCGTAACAAAATTTTAATTTGTAGGGTTCCATTCGTCCGCTAGAGTCGCTAGTGTGATTTACATCAAGCGCTTAACTAGACGCACTTATGCGCCACCGAAAGGAATGGAACATGCATTAGAATCATCCGGAAGGATCGAAGCCCTCCAAGGGTCAATCTATGAATGCATGAACACGGCGCCTAAAACGAGGGTTATACAGGTAAAATGATTATTTTATTCAGCTCATCGCAAACGTATTGACAATGATGCTACGTAGAAAAGTGTCTATTCTCCAGCAAAAACCTTTGACAGTCATCCCTCAAACTCGTACGATAAGATGTGTGCAAAACATCCGCTTCCCTTCGAGCTTCACAAGAAATAGATTTTCAAATGCTATATCTGTTTCCACGTCTCGGAAACCATGTATTCGCAAAATATCCAGTGGACGTCCAAATCAACCAGGAGGTACACATCGCATGAATCTCGGCGGTGAAGACCAAAAATCCCCTCTTGAAACCTATGGAATCGATTTAACAGCCAGAGCTAGAGATGGAAAATTAGATCCGGTTATTGGAAGAAGCGCTGAGATTCAACGAACAATTCAGGTCCTCTCCCGGAGAACGAAGAATAATCCTGTCCTCATAGGAAGCGCAGGAACGGGGAAAACAGCTATCCTTGAAGGCTTAGCACAACGCATAGTCCAAGGTGATGTGCCTGAGAGTATGAAGGATAAAAGGGTTATCAGTCTGGACCTCGGCCAACTTATCGCCGGTGCTAAATTCAGAGGAGATTTCGAGGAAAGGCTCAAAGCGGTACTAAAAGAGGTGCAGGACGGAAATGGTAAAGTTGTACTTTTTATCGACGAGCTACACATTCTACTCGGATTAGGCAAGGCTGAGGGAAGTATTGATGCGAGCAATCTTCTTAAACCAGCTCTATCAAGAGGTGAATTACAGTGTTGTGGAGCAACGACATTGAACGAGTATCGAGCTATAGAGAAAGGTACGTTCCGCAACGGACCGGAATTTAATATTCGCAGCTTCACTTATTCTGACATTACATACCATAATGTTAACGTCCACTTTATAACCAATTCCCAAGATATCAATGAGAATTAACCACTCGAATAGATGTAGCCCTCGCTAGAAGATTTCAACCGATCCAGGTCGACGAACCCAATCTTCAAGACACCATAAGCATCCTTCGTGGTATAAAAGGCAAATACGAGCTTCACCATGGTGTGCAAATCATGGACAGCGCGCTTGTTGCTGCCGCGACCTACAGCAATCGGTACATCACTGATAGATTTTTGCCTGATAAAGCTATCGATTTAATGGACGAGGCTGCAAGCGCATTAAGGCTTCAGCAAGAGAGTAAACCTGAAGAAATTATGCGCTTGGATCAAAGAATTATGACATTGCAAATTGAAATTGAAAGCTTGCGGAAGGAGAAAGATGTCGCAAGCCTAGATAGGAGAGAAAAGCTAGAACTAGATCTGTCACAATGTCAGGAAGAAGCCGCAAAGTTATTAGAGGTATGGGAAAGGGAAAAAGCTGGAATTGAAGAGGTTAAGAGAGTTAAACAAGATCTCGAAAAAGCTCAGTTTGAGCTCGAGCAAGCACAGGTAGGATATCTTTCATGGACAGTGTTTTTGGACTTCAATAACCAGACATAAGCGAGAGAACAACTTCGCTCGTGCAAGTGAATTAAGATATTCCGTGATACCAAAACTGGAAAGCGAAATTCCCAAAGATGGCTCCAGTACAACAGGAAATTCAAATTCTCGAGAAAACGGCGATCCTTTTCCCTTGATTCATGAAGCTGTAACAGCAGATGATATAGCGATGGTAGTTTCACGTATTACCGGAATACCAATCACAAAGCTAAACTCTGGAACCGCTGATCGACTTATACGAATGGAAGAAATTTTACGAGAATCTGTACGCGGTCAGGATGAAGCATTGACTGCTGTCGCGAACGCAGTTAGAATGCAACGAGCCGGGTTGAATGGGGAAAACCGCCCTCTTGCCTCTTTTTTTTTCCTTGGGCCTACAGGAGTAGGGAAGACTGAACTCTGCAAGAAGATGGCCAATTTTCTTTTCTCTACCGATACTGCAGTCATTAGATTTGACATGAGTGAATTTCAAGAGAAGCATACAATATCACGTCTGATTGGAAGGTAAAAGTCTACACCCAATTAATTGACTTAATCTTGACAAACGACAGTCCTGCAGGGTATGTAGGTTATGATGATGCTGGACAGCTAACCGAGGCTGTCCGCCGAAAGCCATATGCAGTGCTACTCTTTGACGAGTTTGAAAAAGCTCACCGAGACATTTCTGCTCTGCTCCTTCAAGTGCTAGACGAAGGCTTCCTAACCGATAGCCAAGGGCACAAAATCGACTTTCGAAATACTCTTATTGTTTTCACTTCAAATCTCGGGGCAGAAGTTCTTGTTGGAGATCATCTCGACTCTGCATCTCAACATGATGTCGACGGCGAAATTTCTCATACAGTACGCAATGAAGTAATGAATATTGTACAGAATAGCTGTAAGTAACACCGCCACGCGCAAGATCTGCCATAATTTAACAAATTTAGATGCGCCTGAATTCCTCAATAGAATAGACGAGTTCATTATATTCAAAAGGCTTTCTCCTATAGCACTTCGCGAAATTGTTGATATTCGTCTTCGTGAACTACAAGCACAACTCGATGCTCGTCGCATCAAACTTGAAGTCAGAGATGAAGTTCGCTCATGGCTAGCAGCTCGTGGATACGATCCTAGGTATGGCGCTAGGCCATTAAACAGGTTAATTTCCAAAAAGATTGGAAATCGTCTCGCCGAGAAAATTATCAAAGGAGAAATTAAGGGCGGAGATACAGCCTCTATAGTACTGAATGAAGATGGGGATGATATTCTTGCTCAAAGAATGCATAGTGGTTGATTAATGAGGAGGATGGATTTCGCTGGCAGTCACTCAATCTAACAGTTTGAAACTAAACATTGTGGCTCATCAAATACGGCGATCTAAGACTATGAGGCGGTGCTATTCTCTTTGTGTAATGTAGCAGTTTGATACATTAACCCTAAATGAAGGCTTATCTCAGTAGAAATACGCCTTGGAGCCTATCAGCCTGACAAGTCAAAGACGTTAGGCCTTTCAAGTTCTATTTCGTAAATCTTTCGCGAGTTTTGCTTCCAGCGAGTAGTTTTTTCAAAGCGCGTCTTTTTGATAGGTTTCCATAGTGTTGCTTGAGTAAAGTCGTGCCTAGCAAGTTGGCCTCGTCTAAATCAGGCCACTTCTTGAGTAGTGCTTCCAGCCTGTTTTACAACGAAAGGACCCCCCACATGATGCCAACGATTAATAGCCATTTATCTCGCCGTTAACTCGTAGAATTCAGTCACCTTTTTCATGGAACATTTCCAAAAAAAAATAACTTGTAGTCCCGGCTAGGCAAGGTGAGAATTTCCATCTAAATCTCTCCTCTTTATGATATGAGATGCAATAGTGCTCCAAATCAACACCGCCGTTTTTGGAAACGGATAGCTCAAAAAGCCCATAGGATCGTTTGAGGGAACGAAACAATAGCATTGAAGCGGAGTTGAGTTATTCCAAGTGGCGATCGTTTGTATTTGGCAGCTGGAACATGCAATAAGATCAAGGTGTAGATCATTAGCAAAAGCGCTCGGACTCATGTTTCCCCTGTAAAGCAAGCTGTATACAGGTCCTCTCCACCTTGAACCTCTTTCTAGATCTGTAGTAAATCTTTTCATCATATGGTTTATGACCACGATCATTCATTCCCTGACAGATCGCTCCACTTCCTTGACTAAGAGTGCATGATGACTAGGGCTTCGACCCTGCCCTAACATTTGATCGTAGCTAGCTTCATGATAATTGTGCTAGGGGCTGTGCTTCAAGATAAAGACGAAATAAACCGCAAGAGCTTCAGGGGATTCTCAATTAGGTGATGACATGGTGCATATTGACTCGTAGCAGAAATAATTCATTATTTATTCTTGCATACGCTCCTAAATCTTGTCCACTAGAATAACATATACACGGAGCCCTCTCTAAGTATTACTGTGACTTTAATAACCTAATAGAGAAAGGGGACTATCCTCAACACCTGTCAGTGGTGTCCCCTACGAACCTCCAGATCTTCATGTAGAGTCTGCAGAGCCGAGATTGACTAATAAAGTCCTCACTCCGACGAGGATTCCAAATCGCTTCCGCGGTCTCTATCGTCTTCATCTCTCAACACATTCCCCTATCACCATTATCATGAAGCTAACCACGATCAGATCAGATGGTAGGGTCGGAGCTCTTCTCATCACCCTCTCTTGATTATGGAAGAAAAGCCGTCCGATGAGTGCCTGGAGCGTACCCAGCACCCGATGCGGAAATAGCGATGGTAGATTGGAACAAGTCGACTTCGAATGTTACAGAAGTGAGAAGTAGATGAATATGCGCATCTCTTGTGCTCCTGGAGTCTGGATCTCGCCTGGCTGTGGACGCGGGTTTTTTGAGACTTTTTCTTTCTTTTTGTTTTGGGTAGAAGGTTCCGTGGAAAAGGTGGCTGAGTTCCACTGGCAAACACTGAGCTGTATGGCTTTTCATCAAGGGCAATATATCAACGATTTTTCAAGAAACATGAGAGGCAAGGAGCACTGTACAAGGTGTGTGTAAAGGGATGAATGATCGTGGTCATAAACCATATGATGAAAAGATTTACTAATGATCTAGAAAGAGGTTCAAGGTGGAGAGGACCTGTATACAGCTTGCTTTACAGGGGAAACATGAGTCCGAGCGCTTTTGCTAATGATCTACACCATGATCTTTTTTTTTTTTTTGCATCAGATTTTAATTGCGTATGCAGCTATCTAGCTATGGCACAATATCAAAGAAAAGTACAGAAAAGATGACTCAATTTACAAGAGGAGCACTCATGCCTCGGATTTCATTTGCAAGTACCACTGCGAAGTTATGGCGGCTTTTTCTTCACCCCAAGTCAAACCTCATCCGTGAATACCCACCCAGGGGAACGTCTCAAAAACCCTGAGCTATGCAGACATGCCTCCGTCATCCATCAACTTTTCTCCGCGCGAAATATGATCTGAGATGTCTCCTTCTCAAGTGGAGTAGGTGCCCAGGCTACTCAGACTATACCAGAGAACATCACCAGGAGGCTGACCACGGCACCTTCTATCGTTTGCTTGTGTTTACAGTGTCAGCTGCACTCTCGCAAGCGAAGTCTTGGCGCGCACAAAGCTCAATTCGTAAAACTCTTGCCAAAATTCGAAATTTCATGTCTGTCAAAAATGTATCACTCTTCTGCATCATCTTACAAACTTGTCCTGATCCCTCTCACGTCCGTCCCAAAGAGCTATCTCCCAAAATTGTGCTCCACGCTTTGCTTCCTCCGTCGGGTATAAATATCGGCGTGGGCGTGTATTTGGTGACCGGCTGAGGCCAGAGAAAGTCGACGAGAGGTGTGGTCATTGAAACGAGGATGTACTAGGTCGTACTTGTAGACTTGATGAAGCTTAGTTGAGAATTGGACTCTTTGGGAGTGAAAGATTGACATGGTGGAGTAATTTGAATTTTTGCCTCGTGGGCCAACTTTGATATTGCGAAATTTGACTGAACTTGGCTCTGGGAGGCGCCTTGATCTTATTGCATGTTCCAGCTGCCAAATACAAACGATCGCCACTTGGAATAACTCAACTCCGCTTCAATGCTATTGTTCCGTTCCCTCACAGTGTGGCCCGGGTCAGAGAAGAGCCCAATGTGCTACATAGTCATAGACTCGAGTAGAACAATAAAAACACACACACCCACAATTTTTGAAATTCGAATTTTCAAATATCCACCTTTTCCCCCTCCCCCTAGCGCTCGTCGCATTCCTTCAATAAATTGTAATCGAGTCACTAGCATTTTCATCATGCCACCTGTTCGAAAAAAGCACCCCAACTCAATGTTGGACAACGCGAGGGTCCGCCCGAGGGCTCCTGCGAAAACACCTGGCCTCGCGCAAAAATTATCAAGCTTATTTGCAGTGAGGCCTTCGTCCCAGGGAAGTCCACAAATCTTCTCGATCAAGAGATGACTGATTCTGAACCGATCAGAGCAGAAAACAACTGTCCCAAGACCAAAACCCCCGTCGAGCTGGCCCCCGAGGCAAGCAGTTCAAGGAAAGGAAAGGCAGTCGTCCGAGAGAAGTCGACAGAACAATCAGAAACTTCTGCAAGAAAATTCACTGTGCTAACTTCAAAAGGCACAGCTTCGACATCAGCACCGGAATATCCTACGGAGCTGCAATCAGTGATGGAAGCCGAAAATCGTCGCACGACGCAAATAAAAGCACGTCTATCAATCTGTTCCACTGCAACAAGCAGTGTTGAAGTAGCACTCTCGTCTCTTTCGATCGGCGAGAATAAAGAATTCGTAGACGGCATAAAAGTCTACCTACGAGCAGCCATTGGCCAGTTTGTACAACCAGGCACAGGGACCACACATCCGATTCTCCCTACTCGCCCCAATAACCCTCTTCCGACGAGGGCTCCGGAAAGTAGGGCTCAAAACCCTTCAACGATCCAGGCTCCGGCACCAAAGACGACTTGGGCCACAGTAGCCCGTGCAGGTCTAGGCCGCAGCGCCGGGCCGTCGACTACAAAGACAGCACCGCCCGCCCCAAAAGCAAAAAGTGCCAATCCGGGGACAAAAGTCTACGCGAGACTTTTTCTAAGCCTCAAAGCTAACAACCCCCACCGACTCCTGTCACCAGCTGGCGTAAGATTAGCTGTGTCACAGGTGCTTGGTACCGCTGCCGACGACATCACGTTGGTTCAGCGGGTCAAAACAGGCTTTGCACTGACAGCAAAGAATGAACTCGCTCGGAAAGAGCTCCTAGATTCCCCCATGTCACGGAGCGAATCTGGAATCAAACTGGAACCAGCGTCAAATCTGGTTGCCTTGCAAATTGCCACCGTACCGGTGACAATAAACACACTTGCAGGTCCCATCGAGTTCACGGCAAAGATGGTTGCTGACGAAGTCACGCGAGTGACGAAATCGGTTCCGTTTCTTGTCCGTCCGCACGGGTACTGCAAGCCTGGGGCTCCATACGAGAACTGGCAGGCCCTCTTTCCTCGCGAGTCCACGCCCCGACCTGAATTCCGCCTCTTCGACGATTCTGGAGCTGCGAAGCTCTTCCGACTTCGTCACCAACTCGAACAGTGCAAACGTTGTCTTGGCTATCACGCCAGCCGCGGATGCTCCCGCGCCCCAGCTTGCTGGAACTGCGGCTCAAACATGCACTCGGAAGTGGAGTGCAAGCCCCTCACACGATGTCGCAATTGTGGGGGACCTCACCGATCGGACTCTCGGCACTGCCAAGCCAGACCCAGAAAAGATGGACCGGTGACCAAGGAACAGCTCACAGCAATCCGCAAAATCGAGCAAGAAAGATATGCAGACTTTGCCCGTGTCAAAGCTGCATACAAAAAGGACGAAGAGGCGAGGAACGCCTCTGCGAAGGACGTCTCCACGGCGGAGGGATCGGGTTTCGGAATTCTGGAAACCGAAGAAGATGTTTGAGGACTCGGCAGTTCTTGGTGAAGTCTACAACAACTTTCACAACAAAAAGCAGGAAACCGACCGACAGCAAAGGTTACCTGAGAGCTCATCTTTCGCTCTCAGCGGAGATTAGGAAAAGTCACTTGGAAGATGTGACAGGGAAGGAAACGGGCGAGAAGCGCGGGATCTGGACCACATATGAAATTCTTCTAAATTATTATTTTGTATTTTTTCGGGTGTTTTTTTTGATTTACGCTTTGATTTTAGTCTTGATTTAAGTTTTGTTGTTAACTCCATCTACTTTTGTTGAGGTTCCCGCGGTTGGAATGAGTTGGGCCTGTACGCAGAGAACCCCACCGGCTCCACCAGTCTTGTACCGATAGTGGACCTAGAGCTTTAGCTTAGGACTTTAAAATAAAAAACAAAAACAAACTTGGGAAAACGGCCCGAATGGTGTACCACTGCACCGTCCAACTCGAGCATGTATTTGGTTTCATAGATGTACCCACAGTGAATGGATATAGATTTAGTCTTACATTTTTTATCCATATACCAACAGCATAGTATTGTATGAATTTATTCACTGTCACTCATAAAATTTAACATCTTCCACTCCTCATCACTCCGCAGTATGACTTCCGCATAACTCATAACCATAACAGTCCCGATATGCCCATTTCTGTCCTCTTTACTCGCTCGTCCCACATCCTGGCTGCCTGTGCTCCATCGAGATGTGAAGCCTCATTAGAGCAATGGACCTCCATAGACCAAGGCCAAACACTGTAAATTATGACTTAGTTTCCTCCTCGCGAGCATACAAAGCATCGTAAGTATCACGGGTGGGTCTCGTTGGAACGGAGTCACAAACAGATCGGAGATACGTGATGACGAAGTAAGGGTGGGAATATATTAATAAGACGTTGCATAATCTATCCTAGAGAGCAACTACTTAGTTACTTACACTTCATTCCTGCGCTAGCATCAATGATACAACCAAGCAAGATAATTGTGCGTCATGTGACTTATAGGTCAGGTCATAAGCGAGAACCATAGGTACAATAACAGTAACTTTGTAGTGGGATATGGTTGATTATTGATGAGGCAGATTCCCAATTGCAATTAGAGTAACGCCATAATCCGTAGTCGAGGCAAGGTGGTATAGCAAGATTAGGGTAGAGGACTCGCGTGAGAATGATAGGTCTGATATTATGAGAAGTCGTCAATGGTAGATATGCTTGTCGCTTACGACTTTGATTCGGATGCGATTCTTCCTGGCTATCCTAGACATGCAGAGCATACTGAGCGATTAAACCGGCACCACTAGGAGGTGAAGAGTTCATCTTTGCCGCCAGATAGATATTGAAAATAATAACCTTTAATAATCTAATTTAATACAACATCCAAACCATCCTGTTGCTTAGGCTCTTTGTCGCTTACACTTGTACTTATCACGAACACCTCCCACTTTTTTAGTCAAATTAATTAGGTCTAGTAATATTGCGCCAATTCCATTGCGGGTTATTTCCAACATTTTCAACACATGTATTAACCTGCCTAGTCTTGGCATGAAAATTTTCGAATGTTAGATTGTCAACACAGACGCCTTCTCGCATATTTTTTGTTTTTGTTGTTTATTTGTTCATTAACGTGCTAGGTTACATGACTACCGTCGCACTCCTACTGGAGCTTAAGTAGAAGTGGGGCCGGGCCGGATCAGGTTAACTACCGTAAAGTACAAGTGCCTTGTCCCACCTGACTGACTGGACCAACTCAGACTTCATCCATGTGTTGAATCATGTCAAGCCCAACCGTCCAGAGAATCCCCTTTTGGCGCGCCGAAGCGCAAATTCCTCCTTAGCCTCGGCCACCACGCGCCCGAGCCCTTGACACCTTCGCCATCTCCAACTTTTCCCTTCGATTCATTCCCAGCTTTGGCTCATTTCAGCACCTCCTCATCTCATCCAGGCATCATTTTCTTCACTGGAGGCTTTCTCGCATATTGCAAACTACCTTGCTAAAAATGATACCTTCAAGGAACTCGAAAATCTACCGATTATAGCCGCCCTTAGTGTAAATATTCAGGTACAAGGCATAGGTACCATAACCCTGAATTGTAGGCTATAAAAAATCAAAATAATCTATTCAAATTAAGGGATGTTCTGTTCCAACCAGAATCTCTAGTAGATATATTTAGTGGTGATAAGCTACCAAAGATAAAAGGGTGTAAGTTAGATTTTCAATTTTTCTGATTATATTCATTTTATGTAGAATGTCTCATTTTGACGTTTGGAACACTCATACTCTGATTTTATTCGCAGATACCACTCGAATTTAGTCCTTACGGCATGTAACCTCTTCCGTGAGTACCTAACATAGGCAAAAGCGCTAAGTCCACAGGTATAGCTGATTGTGCTTTCGTCACTTTACAAATACGATATCGATGCGAGAAATTGTGGCACATGGGTCATTCCGGACTCGAATCAGCTCTCTCCTGTCCCACACGGGTAATGCGTCTAAGCTATCCAGAATCTACTTGGGAGAACAGTCCGGATGATGTACCAGTGCACGATTCAACAAATACTATGTAAATAAAAAATAGCAAAATCTATGAACCCGATGAAATGAAATTTAGCACATTCGATAAGGAACTACATATAATTGAGTCAGTTGAGGCAGTTGTAGTACTCTTACTGCTACATGAGCCAAAGCCAAAATTCGATCTCGGGTTTCGTCGACTCGGCGAATTGGGCTTGAGAAATGTCAAGGCGACTGAAAATATCGCGACAAAGATGGCTTTCGAATCTATCAGTTCTTACATCACAACCCCAAATCACTGTATATCATGTCATTTGCTGAGACCTCTCCACAATTCCAGAAAACTGCTTACTCAAGGCCTCGTAATCCCCTTGATTCAGTATCAGTAGATGAGTTAATGGTTAAGCTAGTTTGGGTGATTTTGAACTTAAGAGTAGTGAAACTCGACTAGCATAGAGGTAACGATTGTTGACATCAGCTCAGATCTGGAGGAGTTCGAAACACGGCTGTAGACTCAAAGTGTGTGTACAAGAGTCAATCATAGAGTTTAGCGTTAGAGACCGCTTAGTAAACAGATTCGCATGGGCTATGGCTACAGTGTCTTTAGATAGAACTCATGTACATCAATATCGATGGTCAAATATTATAGGAGAGTTTTGGAAACAAGCCAAGGATAGGTCCTTCGAAGCAATGACAAATAATTCTCGTGATGTCACAAAAATTTATAGTAGAAGCCAGATCATAGTTGGATAGAGCAATTCCAGATGACAAATGCTGTTGGACTTCTGCTGAAGGAAGGAAGGAGACAGGGCTAGTGTTATGGTGTGCCAAGGGATTTTTCAGGAGCCAGCTCAGTAAATTAGCTGAACCATGTACATAGATTATAGAGTCCACACATCCAACCACATGGAAAACAAACTAATTCTGCACACATTAGTTCATTGCTTCCAACTTACATGATTGTTCTCCTCTCAAATCGTTGGTCATCCATATTTGTCCATTAAGATATCTTCAGCACGCTCATAAACAAAGCAGCTAGCAACTCTTGGAATTAAAAAAGAAGATATGATTGTTTAGTAAGGATTACGCTACAGTAAAATTGTGTTACCAGAAGGATAAATAAAAAAATCGAAAACAATAAACAGAAAGGTAATGGAAGCTGTCACAGAGAGGTTAGATTTATTTTGTCATCCTATCTAAGTCTAAAACTATGGAGGACTTCTAGAACCTAACTGAGATATTCCAGCTATAATGGAGTATTTTTATATAATTTATTTAACTTGTATTCTCAAAGACAGTGAGGGTCACGACCAGCCATAGAGAGGTTTCCTCTGAAGGATATATTGAAGTTCATACACATCTGCGTGGGCCTGTAGAGTATCAAATCAGGATAACGAAATCAAAATTAAAGCAATAATAACTTTTGGTCTTCTAATTCAAAACAAATTCAGAGCCATCCAACTTCGATAAACAATCTAATGCCGGGGTTAGCAGATCTGTGGCTCCATTGTTAACTCTATTTAGGTTCACTCTTTCAGCAATCATTACCCCTAGTGTCAGGGTGAGATGAAGATTTGACCCTGCTCGTTTAATACAAAAATTGACCCCGGATTGAAGATCTGCACAGTTTAATAGGTTTATAACACATCATCGTAAACACAATTTCTCAGGAAATCACAATGCACAAACTACTTAAGTTTTAGGATCACTTTGTGCTCTATTTGTCCTTGTAGGATGTAATATAGTATTTACATTCGTAAAAGGTCACAGATCTAGCCATTTGGTTCACACCTGACAAACACATACGTCAGCGTAGTCTTGTTGCCTGACTAGTATTGGAAGTTATCCATGAAGTAATCAGCTTTTAAATTTAGGGCTGAGTTGAAGGGGTCTTTTCGATCAAACTGTTGTGCCTCATGGGAGCTAAGGGAAATCTTATTTTGAAACACCCATGTGTTGCCGGCTGAGACGCGCACGGCTATCGCCCAATCCGCACCGCTCTATGAGGCAGTCTCCCCAGCCACGAGTGAGACACAATGAGTTCGGCGGTGGATTAGTAGGGATCCGAGTCGATGCCATCTGTCCACTCCGGACGTCCGCTCTAGGATGATGGAGTGGAGCTTGTGACGCAAGAGGAGCGCAAGTAATAGATGCTTCCTGTCTAAGTGATCTGTGTCAGACCTCTGGCGGGAATTGTATAGGGCTTGCTGGCCTCATGACATCATCGGTAGTTAGAGATATCTTGAAGATTTTTACGAAGCATATGTGTCGTGAGCCACTGTTTTGAACCTCCATGCCACCTGACAAGTGTTTTTCCAACCCAGCTGCAACCAAAAGAAAGGATGATTTCAGTGGGCACCGGAAACACATAGCAAGCGGAACGTGTGGGCTATGATCTCAGCTGTAACTCCAGTGCTCTTACCTGGTATGGAGTATATTGTGCTCGCTCTTTCGCTCCTTTTCTAGTCATCCTCAGCTCCTCAGTTTTCTACATTCACCTCGCTCATATTACTTAAACGCCGCAACCAAACTATTAATAACAACTATTTACTTCTCGAGCGATAATACTAAACTACGCCAACATGCAGTTTTTTGGTCTCTCCGTATTTGCAATGGCTGCTATGTCTGTTTTAGCACAGGTGTGTCAAACAAAATATGCCAACTGTTGATCCCTCACTGTAATGCTAACCTGAAGCTAGGAAAGTAAAGAAAAGTCCGACAAAGGGATGGGAATGGGAATGGGAAATGGCATGATGATGGGAGGTGGCATGAAGCCAACCGGAGCATCACCTAGAGCAACAGGCAGTCCCACCAAGACGAACGGTACGGGTAATGGTACATACGCTGGCGGACCTATCCAAGCCACAACGACAGCTGGAGTCACAAGTCTACTTTCACAAAGCGGCGGCTTGGTCTCCATCGCTGGCCTGGGTGTAGTCTTTGCAGTGTTTATGTAAATTCAAGAATTAAAGGACGAATAACAAACTTAAGTTGAAGGTCGGCTGGACTGCAGAAAAAAATATGGGCTATGAACCGAAAATGTTCATCGACTACGACATTACAATCACAATCAGACGATCTTTGGTTGCTATGGATTTTTTGTTAAAGATTGGCGTTTATCTTCTTCACGACAACGTGAAAGGTAAAAATATATTGAAATTTACATTGGGACTCGCCATGTTTGAGCAGTGGAATTGAAGGTTGATAGTTATCTAACATCGGAATAGTAAAACGACATCGTATCGACGATTGTGGTGAATGTGATCAGCATGTCCTTCATTAGTGTGCTGATTTCAGAACCACTACAAATTTAGCACTCTAGTTAAAACGGTATTGCTAAAGACATATGCTTTAATTGAGACTGCCGTAGTGTTATCTGAATTAGATTTGATTAAATTAATGTCACGCCAGAGCGCGGCACATATATTGGTCGCGTGCTGGCTAGCCCAGCCCCCATCGAACTGCCCGTGCCTTTAGCACACCCTAAAGCGTCCAGGATCTACATTATTCTAACTGCTGTCTGCTACCGAGATAGTACTTAACAAGATTCAACCCACGATGAATTAAATACACGTGAACATCTCTGCCTTTAACACCTACAACATTGAGGAAATAATTCCCTTCAGTTATTGAGGTTGTAGAGCGTATCCATTCAAGTTACTACCGAAGTGAAACTGAGTACATAATTCACAGTCACGTGCCTGTCAAACACACGGCCTCATTGCTAGCCCCAATTATTCTAAATTTTAACATTCAGGATCCCAGACACGTATTACAAAGTAGTCTGCCGCTCCAGAAAATTCCAAGAACTCCTAGCGCATTCCCGAATAAGGTTTCATGTCTTTTCGGTACATTGAAAGGGGCCTCTAAAAGTATCAGGCTGCTTGCGGATACAAGGCTCTTAACGGAAATATACCCTATATCTCCTCCCACGGTTACATAATCATGATAAAAACATATCTGATAACTTGCAGACAAGAAATCATCAGCAAAGTGTATGTGATTGTGTCCTTTATTCTTACAATGCTCAGAGTAGCAACAACTCAATTTTCTGTCTAATCTTTTGTAACTTCAGTTTCTACCGTAGATTTACATTTTTCTGGCTTGCAGACATTAAAAAATATAGCCTCCGACAACTTGTCCCTCAGGCCCTTTCTTGTTTGGTTGGTTGGGTGCCTCGGCTACTAGAGCAGTTAGCTATAGTGTCCTTTACCTTTTTTTAAATCATGAAATGTGTGTTCAGCTATCTAGCTACGGCATGTGACCAGTGCTATGCATACATGTTGGATGACTCTTATCATGCTACAGACACTTATACTCTGTATTTCATTTGCAAATACCACTATGAGGTATGCTTGCTTACACAAACAGTCAACCCTCCTCCGCAAGTACCCACCCAAAGGGGACTTCCAAATCTTTGGTTATCTGAACATGCCTTCGTTATCCATGCAAGCTTCTTCCGCTCGAAAAGTGCTTGTGTTTTGCCGGAATCGAACCAGCGATCTCCTGTCTCAAGTGGGATACATATCCGAGCTTTCCGCTGATTTCTTAGAAGACCTGTTAGATAGTATATGTTAAGTGGCTAGGCCTATGGTTTACACATAAGGAGTTGGAACATGATGCCTGCGGCGGACTGGCCTTATGGAAGCACTGATGACTAGCTAGTTGATATTAACTTTATCTCATATTCTTGGACACGTGCAATTCGTAGGCAGAGGTCTGTTCTTTAGTTTTACTACCTTTTAAATCTTAGGCTCTTGCTTGCCACATTCTGCGTATCACAACAGAAACCTACTGTATTACTCTTCTCCTTCGACGAAAGTCTCGAGAGAATAGTAGCAAGGTGATGCCGCAGTAGCCTTTTGCAGCACTCTCTGGTTGATTAACAAGCGACTTTGTTGCGTGCACCATACACGACGTAGAATATATCTGAAGGCCATGTGGAGCTGTAATGAAGCACTGCTTGAATAATGTATGGACGGAGGTAGCTATAGCTCCAAGGGAAGCATAGTTCGTGTGTTATACTATCAAAAATTTGCTCAATAAATGAAAGTGAGGATATTCCCGAGTATTCTTAAGTGTGTGAATAACATTGAGATAGTTTAAATTTCCTATTGCATGAATTGCTCAATTTATCTAAGTAGTTGTAAGTTCCTCTTTGTCCATAAATAAGGGGATTCATGCACACTAGTGAACGTTCCAACAGATTTCCTATTCTAACTGAGTGTGGCCGGCTGTGCCAGGATTGGAACTGTGACTAGAAACCCGAGTTGGTGATGATTTAGTCAATTTAATAAACCGTATAAAGAAAAAAGCGAAATCTAGTTATAAATAATGGGTTATTTGTAACATTCAGCCCCTCAGTGATTGTTTTGACTGATATCTTCGCCCTAGGCCGATTACTTTCCACCCAGTCACACATTTTCAAGAATCGCTACGCTGTGACACTGGACTGGCCCCTTGGCTAGTAGTATAGTATCTTCTAGTATTCCTTATCATTTCCTTATAGTCTTACAACATGAATCCTCAATAATACGCTTAGGTATCTACCTAAGCTCAAACAACGCTCAAACCGTAACGGGAACTAATCACTAGGAACATCCTGTCTAGGAATTCAAACTTCAATAGAGGAGAGCTTCTGCAAACGCGAAGACTCTCATGAGGATGAGTGCAAGTGAGCGTATAAGGAAGTATTTAAGGAGGTGCGTACCAGAAATGGAGGCTGTTGCAGGAGAAGATGGAAGTTGAGACTAGTCTCTGCGGAAGACATCAAATACGGAAGACGACGTAGTAGACTAACTTCCCAAGAGAAAGGTTATCAATACCCATTGATTCGCCGACTTTAAAGTACATCTAGATTCTCTAAACCCTCATACCGAGACGGGAAAGATATCAAAGATCACAACGTCAATAGATGCCTCTCGGAACTTTTTGCGAAAAACTTGATCATACCAATGAGTGATGACATAAGAATTACATCACATGGCCGATGTCGCAGTATTCAAATGCGAACAGTTTACTGTAATGCAGTTGTTGAAATCTAGACACACCAGACTGAACTGCACGCAGTGCGGAGTAGACGAAGACTACTGCGCTTTGATCGCTACCAGCTTTGGTGAGGACCCGGTTGGTAATGATCTCGGTGGTGGGCATGTTATACCATCACGTAATCAGAACATAATGTTTCTACCTAAGCGAGGTGGAACATCTACAGATAAATAAATGAAGATTTAAACCTAACACATTTAACTAAGTACAAGTTCAATAAAACCTAAACCCTCACTGATCCTAACCTTTTATCTCTGATCTTGAAATCCCCAATATCCTACGATTCGCACAGTATTGACTTGACAGTCAACGTTCACTTCTATCATTCCAGATACCCCCAAGAACTTTAATAGCAGTCATATTAATTTCTCAATCACCACAGACCTTGCGATTCACAGGTAGGAGAGAGCAGTTCTGGCCGCCTTGGATATCCAAGGGGTATTCGGCGCTATCCTTCACAAACAGCTGCTATAGAGGTTAAAGAAATGAAGCAGCTGGAATCATCCATTGGTTGGATAAATTCTCACTCCAAGGACGATCCGCCAGCGTTAGATACGAGGATAAAGTGATAGACCCAGTATTGTTGGCGCAATCCGGTATACGCGCGTAAACAAAAGAGCAATAGAATATATCCAAAATAGCAAAGCAATAACAATATTATTTCGTCCATTCTATCTATCTGTTCTAACCCTTTTAGTTTCATGTAAGAATGCCAAGGGAATATCACGCAAGTTGCATTACTGTTACAATTAGATTAGGTTTGTATTATAGTCCTAACTGAGTCAATGACTATGGAAGACTCCTACAATCTACAAATAAGATACTAGCTACATATTTTAAGTTCCAATTCTTTAACTTTACGCTTTGCTCTAATGGATAGTGAGGGACAAGCCCTGTATTACTGTTACAATGGGATAATACATATTTTACTCGATTTGATTTCATGTAGCCCGTTTAGAAACCCTATGGGTCCATGCAGGTATATCTAGCTATAATATTTACACAGGAGGAAACTAATTCGGTAAAAACCTCCCAAAACTGTCTATCTCTTGTCTATTGGTTTTCCTGAAGTTTCCTACGTGGAGTGCATTTACATTGTTCATCTACTGTGAATTCTATTCCATTCTCGTCCACATCGTTTCATCTATTCCTTCACTACTATCGCTACTTCTCCTGCAAGCCGGAACTATTTGAACCAGTCTTTCGCTGGGATCCACCTTGTAACTCTCTCTGATTCATATGGGATGTTCATCATTGCTGAAAAAGATCCATCTTTTGCCTAGCAAAGCACCTCGCCTCTTCCCCTCGCACACTGAGGACACGATAAGACCATGTGTTTGACATTTTGTGCCGGATATTCATACTGGTATTTTGGATTAACCACTCACAGCACTATCCCTCAATGTAGATGAAAACTGAGACCAATGTACTCACTCCTTATCTGAGCTGCGATACTGCTTTGGGTCCGGCTAAGGTTCCGGTCGATATTTGAGGGTATCTTACTATAAGTGATTCTTTTTCTGCCTATTTTCTTATCTGTGACGATATTTACGGCTTTCAAATGTTCGGGGTCAGCCCGAGCTTGATAACCAGATAGTTTCTCCTTCCCTTGTCTATGAGTTTTCCACTTCTGGAACGCCGCTACCTTACCGGCATCTTTTTGTCAAACTTTCGCATTCTCCTTGCAACAAATTCTGGTCCGTTCTGCAATGTCTAGCTTTCGATTCTTGGCGTGTCTATTCATGGTTCCCCTTGCGGCCTGCTTGACTTTACTGCATGCAGATTGTATCGTTATCTTGACAGGCAATCCTGATAATTCGACTTGTTCAACCCTCTTTTGTTTTGTGTAGATATCTGTGGGGAGATCCAATGATTCATGTTCTAGTACCCTGCTGCTGGTAGAGTTATT